TCCAAAGAAAATTTCAAATGTATAATAAGCAAAAAAAGTTTTTTTTATCACTCTTTCGGTACCTATCCGATAAACAACAGAGATGAAAAACGGTGAAGACAAAAAACATCAGTCCAATAAATATCGGACGACATTGTGCGCGATACAAAAGGAACGAGTACTTAGCCTCCGACAACAAAAGCTATGAATATAACTCGCAGAATAAATAAACACGCCACTCAAAAACGAAGTGTTGAATGCTTCAGAGAAAAGACATTTTACTAAAATTAAGTATGGCTCCTTGCCTAGAAAGTGAAGGGGGTGAACTCTCTATTGCTTATGGAAGTCAAAAAGGGAGAACCGTGAAGAAGAAAACTAATAAACTACAATGGAAACGAGAAATTTTTAAGCATCAAGAATAAAACTCAGTGCCAGGAAGTAGTAATAGGAGGATATTTTCTTTCCCCTTTTCTTAAAAATCTTCCTAGAAGCTACAATGGCCCCCTTTTCTACGCGAGGCTGGCTTTGAGATCCGTGTGAATAATCGTTATGGAACTCTTCGTCTGAAGGTATGAGTGGTGTAGTCGGAATAGTTCGTATGAGTGATTGTGTGCTCTTTTTTAATCTCTTCTTCGCCTTATGAAAATACCCGAGGAAAAAATAAAGTTTTCTTCGTAAATGTATTGAAATATCCCCATTTCTGAAATGTAAAAAATCTGCTGTTAGACAGTGAAAATCGTTCAACACGAAACTGAGGGGACTGAAATATTTGTTCGTGTTAAAAGAATTTCGTGTTAAAGGATATTGCATAAACAAGTAATATAAAAAAATTTAAGTCAATTCCTACTTAGATTAACAAAGAAAATTTTTTATTTTAGCTACTTTTTATTAAATAGTTACAATTAATATAAATATGTATATACAAAGGATAGAATCACAACATTAAGTGGTAATTAATTTCTATTAATTATCCTTAAAGTATCGTATTGTCATCCAAAACAATCGTGTACATAAAATTTCAGTTCAACTGAATGCTTTAAAACGTGAGAAGAAATATCTTTTCACGTTTTGACACACGTTGCCAAAAATGATGCCAACGTGGCTGTATTTGTAATTCTTTAAATAATTAGTTTTAATCAATTAATTTTTAGTAATTATAATTCAGTTATTATACTGTCATCTAAAATAATCATGTATATAAAATTTCAGCCCAATGGAGCGCTTTAAAATGTATTTTATTAACGATTGAAAATTCCACCAAGATAAATAAATAAATAGAGGATGTGAGCTAATAGTAGGAATTGAAAAAGCATATATTCAACAAAAAATAAAGTTTATTAGAGTACATTTGATTTACATAGATATGTATTTATGCATGTGTTTAATAAAAGTCAGTGAAACCAAACCATTCACAAGAACTTAATACAAAATTTTCCACTTTTCTGAGAAACAAAACATTTATTCAGTTCTTGGAAAATAATCTGATATTTTTCTTTTCATTTTCTTTTTTAGCATCAAATTGTCAACAAATTGATCCATTTTGTTATTCATTTCAACATTGAACTGTGTATCTAAGTAACTGAGCATACTTTTCAAGACGTTTCTCATTTCGGATAATGTGGGAACCTGAGCTGCATTATTCATTTCAGTTTCGTCCCCAAAATCTGGATTAATAATATTTGTGTATGTGTGTGAGCATTGATTTAAATCCAAAATAACCTATCTGACAAAATTGGGGCTGCAAACACATTATCGTCATCTACTGCAACGAATTCTTCAGATGGTACAGTCGGACAGTCCAATAATATTTAAACATTCTCAAACAATTAAGAGTTATGTTTTCTGTATTTTATTCATCCCCAGAAGGGAAATCTTTTCGTGTAAAGCGAATTTCGTTTCGTGTTTACAGAAAATGAAAACGCATAAAAATACACAGTAATTGGTTGTGACCGTTGTATTATTTCGTGTTAACCGAGATTTCGTCGTAAACGTTTTCGCGTTAAACGTATTTCACTGTATATCTTTTTGAAGGTAAGAAATTTTTAATAGTACAATGTTGTTTTGACTAATACAGAATCAGAGATAATTCTCACACGATGATTTTTAATGAGGTGTATTATTTTTTAATAATTGAAACAATTCATGAGTTAGATGAATCAGACATTCATATAATCTGTCTGCTTGGGAGGAATAAATAAAGTGACAAAAAGAATGAAATTGAAATAATAGAAATATAATAGAATATGTATTGAGATATAAATAGAAAAAGAAAATTCAAATCAAAACTAAAAACTTATGAAGAAGAATTAAAAGAAAGGAAGAAATAAAAGAGAAAGACTTTCTGACGAAGTTTCAATGAATTTTGTGACATAGGGTTAGAACAGCACCCTGTAGCGCACCTTTGCCTTCCCCGTAAGGCGACTCCAGGTACACGCACGACAAATTTGCAAATATTTCATAGTACCATAATACATCATAGGCCCAGAAGTCGAGTGATCGCGCGTCCACTCCACAGGTCTGGGTTCTATTCTCGGGTTAAGCAAGGTCGACTCAGCTTTTCATCCCTACTGCAGTGGATCAATAAATGAGTACCAAACT